AACAAAGTTACAAACTGACCGAAAAAGAAACATCACTTGATCTTTGAAGAGGATTTCCATCCATTAATTCCCAATATATGAAAACAATTTCAGAATGGTGGGCGGGTTTGTCTGTGCGTGATTGTGGGAGGGGGGGAGAATGAACATTAAAGTATAATAGCAAAAAGGAGTAAAAGAGTATAGAGAAATGAGCAAGTAATAGAATCTCATGTTTAAAAAAATGACATAACAAATGATGCCGAACTATTCAAAAACGATCTTATTAAGAAGTGATTAGATAACGAAGCAAACAGCTTGAAACCTTCTGAAAAGACACTAATAACATACCTCGTTGATGCATGACAACAAGTCTAGCCAACGAGTTGCTGCATGTTGGATCCTTCTTTAAAATGTCCTCAAAGCACGTACAGAGTTTCAAGTTGTTTATGCCACTAAAATGCTCCAAGAGAGCAGCTTTCATTCTGCAACAAATGAAACCAATATGTTCAAATTACACTTGCATGCACATACATTTGCATTTTTCTTTCATATCAATGACACGACATGACTCAGAAAAACCAAATATAACTAGCTTCCTAAAGCGTACACTAAAATCCATCTTGCAACATCACAATACATCTCAGGTTCTTTCAGCACATCACATGAATTCCAGGCGAGAAATAGAAACAATGTCGTTTCTTCTAAACTATTTCACAGGTACTATTTTTCTACGAAAGATCGGCCATAGATATGCCTTAATCATTATAGGATCAAAGATTTACAAGTGTAATTCAATGAGTTAAAAATAGGAATCAACAAGAACTTGGAAGAATGACTTGCAAGAAAAGAAACCTCATCAAAGTAAGATTGACAACCCTTTCGACTACAAAAAGTTTGAAAGAAATAATTCAATGGTAGTCAACAAATAGGACACATCTATAATCTCACTACATCGAGTTGTTTTGTAACTGAAATTAACAGTGTCTCATATAACGAAATGATCCTACGTATATGAGAACATTTTAGAGAAAGAAAGATCACATTGTTGATAGGTTTAATTTTTATTAGCTTAAAAAGAACTTGTCAGAAATTCATGTTATTTAAACAAAATGGAATTTCTTATGTATATTTAGTTATGATTGTTAATTCCACATCTGGCATTTATGGGCATTGTTACTACCATACCATTCATTTTTACAGACTTCTTGACTAGGTAAAAGCACCTACTATTTTACTAACTAAACAACAGAAATGTTGCATCTAATTCATTTTCTTATTCTTTTCTCAAACTGTATCACATTATTATTTGAATGCCAATAATAAAATAGTCCCTAGTCAGTGCAGTTTGTTTTGCATCCGCAACAGCCGCAATTGATATTTTGCAGAAGAAAATCATTACCTTAACTGGAGCACTGTATCTGAAATTTTAAATGATTTTTCAAGTTCATCAAGAGCCTCGTTGACCCGATCTCCGAGAAGAAGCATCTGCTAAAATAACAAAGATGGAATCTGTTCAAATTAAAAAGAAAAAGTAATTGACTGTTTGAATTGGAAAACTAGTACACAATTAATAATTGTACGGGCTACGCTTCTATTTGTTATGACAAAACATAACTGCAACCCTTGATTTTTACTTGCACAGCTTACTTTCTTTTTGTTATGTTTTCTTTTGAAAATCTACCCACTAATTCTACTATGCGAGGTTGATTGGGTAGTTCTGTAACATTCTATACGATCGGAAAACTCTGTTACTTCAAAAGTAACTACGTAAAAAGTAAAACAGTTTCTGAATTAGCAATAACCTCGTATGGACACAATTGATTCTATTTTCATCCAACCTTTGAGTAAATGCAGCATTAAAAAAAAAAAAAAAACAAGAGGCAAAAGTTTACGTAGCTGACACCAAGTTTAGGAGCTATGGAGCTTAGCTTAGCTTAAAATGTTAGCAAGGGACCAGGTATATTAATTTAAATATTGCCTTAAACAATTGGGGTATAAATCGTTGTATAAGGAATGGTAGCTGGATTTTGGAAGCAAAACAGAATTCTACTCATTTTCAAAACAAATAAGTCATTTGATGAATATGACAAACAATTGCCATACAAAACATAATAACTGCAGTACCTGTATTAAAGGGTCAAAAGCCTCAATTACTGGCGCTATCGATTGAAGGGAAACACGCAAATGCTTCAACGCAATCTTATAGTAGTCATTATGAAATTTCCTGTGCTTATTCATCAAACCCTCATAAGTTTCACGAGAGGTGGGCAAATGCAAAGGCAGTAGCCATGGAGGAAGACCTACATTTTCCAATATATTCGTGAACGTAACTGAAGCATGACATAAAGGTACACATCCCAAAAATTGTGCAATCAAATCAAGGTCCTATGCATACAAAACAAGGAAATTTACTTTTTGTTTGAACAACTAACAAGATAAACAAACATAAAATGCATGCAGCAACAAACAATTTAGTTGCTAAAAAGGTCAATGCAGTTGACCAACGATATAAAACTAGAACCCGTAGCTTTATATGGCCAAATCTTCTCGGACGACGATGTCATTGTTTTGCTTCAAGGTATGATCGACTTCAAGCCTATGCTCGGGGATAAAAACATGACTGATTTTTACTTTTTAATCAAGGACAAGCTTTACGCTCAGTTTACAAAGATTCACATCAAAATATAGGATTCATTATGGTAAAGAAGAATGGACTACCAATTCAAAATATAGGATTCATTATAGGATTCATTTGAGTTTCTATTTGCTTTGAATTTTTATTGATCGCTCATTTTTTCTTGAATTTATTAAGAGAAAGAAAAAATGAAGGGCAAGCTCACATTTAGTAGTTTTATGAGACGCTGATAAGTTATTGATGCCATGAAATTAGAGTATTTGTTAGTGATTTGGATGAGTTATAACTTAAATTTGTGTTAATTATGTTTGTTAGGTTGAACTCAATGCAAATTGGTGAAAGCCTAGGCATGACCAGTCCATCTATTTTCTATAGCTTCATGAGCTTATTATATAAATTTCAGTATGAATGTCGTAAATGTTAACTTTGAAGTGTGTCTTTGTTGCTTGCCAAAGCCTAGGCATGACCAGTCCATCAACATGATTCTATTTTCTATTCCCTTGTCCATGTCGTGAAAAGTTTTTACAATCTATATCTATTAAAGACTCGTCCATCTATTTTCTTTNTTTCTGAATTAGAGTTTATGATGATTATAATATTAAGTAGTTTAAATAATCAGCCAATTTTTAAATTTGAACAATAGAGTTAGAGTGAAATTTTTAAATTTGAATAAGAGTTTAAATTTGACTACTGCTGAATTATGTCTTCACAGAGCAACAAAATGTTGGCTAGTCAAGAATGGCCTCCATATGCATGAACACAAATATTTACATAGAAACTGAAGAGTCCTGAGTAGAAAACTAACGATTTCAACATTTATAATTTAAGAACTAAATCTTGTTGGAATATAAAGCAAAAAACAAAGTCTTATTCTCAATTACGGAGAGATATGACTGGTTAGAATTTTTTCAACCAAAAAAATAAAAAAAAAACTCCTCTCTTTTTGACACGTCATCTATATGTAAACCATTATATAACTGTCAATAAAGTAGGGATCAACTACACACACACAGACATTTATATATATACACATTGATATATAAATAAGACACTCCCTTTCCCATGGATTCATCAATCCAGTGTATGGGCAGATGATCTAGAAAACAAGGGAATTTAAAGAAAGGCTTTGGTTATGGCATAAATAAATAAATTGGAGCCTAGAGATTTGAATTTGGAAAATTCAACAAAATTTGGAGCAGATTGAAACATATTGTTTGAAACTCTTACTTGAATTGTACAATCATTTAGAAAATGGTAGATTTTCTATCGAGTATTTAGAATATATGAAGAGAAGTCTGAGCAGATTATACAATAGCAAAAATTAAAAGTAGTCCTTCCAGATATTACAATTGACATATGAGAATGGAGACATAGGAGAGGTAGTCAATCATATTTTATTGTTTTATTCTTTTAACAAATATAAATATAAAGGATCTGTATTGAGATGTTTCTGTGGTGTCACTGGATAAGATCCAAAGAGCAACACGCAATTCAAAAACTATCCATGCAGTAGTTTTTATGGTGGCTATTGCATTAGGCATTGCCAGGTATTATCTTTGTTGATACTGATTCTTGGAACTTAGCAAGCCATGTATTATCTTCGTTGATCCACTCTATTTCTTTGTTGATATGAATGGGCCAAAGGATATTTACATATAGATGAAAGATTGCCATAGTTAGAAATTCTGTGAAAATTCATTCTGTACATATGGATTAATTCATGAAACAATGGTGGCTTGGCGGAATTTGTGCCATCATAAATTCTCCCTACAAGAAAGTAAAAAAAAATAAAAATGTATGAGGATTTAATTACTATAAATATTTTAAGAATAAAAAACATAGTTGTCCCATCCCATGTCTCCTTATCGTGTCTTGCAAGGACAATTATGTTACAAAAATATATTTTTTTCTCATTTTATAATAAAAAATCGATATGAAAATATGTATTGGTTGGCTAAGTAGAGTTGGCTTCCACTTATTGGCTAGTTGATGGGGTCAATTTCATTTTGTTTTATTCCAATTAATGATTCGTGGGTATTGCACAACAAATACAAAAGGGAAGCATGTGGTTGTTTTCATTGCACTTTCTATCAATTGTGGTGTCTTTGGACATATTTCTTGGATGTTAAGGTGTTTGATCCACATAGCCTAACAACAATAGGGTTTGTTAATATGCTAAAACTTGATAATTAACGAGTTTTCTCACATATTTTTTGTGTTATTGTCCAACAATAATGATGTGTTTTACGTATAATCGTTTTTCTTAAATGTTGAAAGTGAAGCATTAATGAGAGTTGTAGGTTTAGAATACCTTGATTTATAATCAACTTAGGCTAAATTAAGTTTAGAATAAACTTTAAGAGAATAAGTAATTCATTTCATTAAAACCCCACAATTCTTTAATAGTTCATTTTATCTACTTCAATAAGTAACATAGAATCACGTGCTTCACGTAATTACACTACAGAAGGTATTTAGTCGAAAAACATGATGATGGATCTAACTTAAATCCCAAAGATTAAGATTTAAGAATTGTAGGATCTTGTGATCAAGTCCCACAAGAATGTGATATCTTCAATAATTTTTGTTTATATATTTTGAATATTTGATTACCTTTGCAATGAGCATTGGAATAGTAAAACAATTATTATCATTTTGAATAGATGAATTTAAATAAACAAAATGTAAAAAAAAAAGTCTTTTTAAATTAGGCATAAAGAAGCAATTCGAGTTTCTAAGATTGCCATATCGCAAAAAAAATGTGATCAAGAAATTTCTTAGCCGTTAATCAAATTCACATAATGACATTCATCTTATCGTCGTGAACATATCTATTTAATGAGACCAATATGACTGACTCCTCTAGTCTTTTCTAGGTACTTGAGTAGTGTGTACTATTCACCTATACATTCTCCAAGCCAGAATGAGGAATATGTATCTCGGGTATGAAGTTTGACGTGGAGAGATTGGATGCGAGAATTACTCTTGGCATGTGACAAGCGCAAGTCAAAGCTTTATTGATATAATTTGATATACACAAAGGTTTAAAAAGAAGACCAAGTAACCAACTCCTATTTTGGATATACCTACTAAAAATTTATCAACCCTAACAGCACTGATTAATCTCTAGTGATTCTGGTAAGTTCAGTAAGAGCATGATACATCTCTATCTTACAAAAAAATGTCTTTGCCAACGTTCATGGAATATCTAAACAAAGACATAAAGAACTATAATAGACAAAGAGCCTTTTGAACCAATTGTATATTAATAAAAGCATATTATACAAAATACAGGACACTAAAGATATATTATTAAAATTGACTAAAAAAGACAACCGATAAAATATTTTACGCATGCTTTTGTTTTCATTATGTCAATAGTAACATAACAAACATGCTTTTAATTCATCAAATGGTAATATTTAATTTTGAAGATTTTTAGTAAGGAGAGTTAAATTATAGGAGGTAGAAGCACAAGAAAATTCAACTAAAAGAACAAAGGGCAAGCAAGCACAAATTATATTTGGTGATTGCAATGTCTAAAAATATGGTAGTGCATGGTAACTTTACAATTCATTGGTCCCACAAATAGATTTTCTTACAAAATTTGGAAATTCTTGAATAAATATCTTTTGAAAACATCAATCAAAAGGACAAGATATTCAATAAATAATTAATATTTAGAAGAGATAAGAAGGCATCGCTCAATGACAAATTTGAATATAGTTTCGCATGAGCAAATTGTTGAAAAATGAAGCCATATTAATTTTTTGTTTTTGGTTCATAGAAAGAGTCATATTATATTGAGTGATCTACTAAGAAGTACTCATTGTATCATTAGACAAAAAAATAATAATAATAATAATAAAATAAAATAATTGACACTAAAATTTTCTCGAGTTCTATTAGAGATTAAAAAAAAGAAAAGAAAGAAAAATTACTAATCGTAAGAAGGGAAATTGGCAAACCAAACTTCGATCATTAACAATTGACAAATCTAAGGTTTTATTTTTTTCAAAATATGCAAAATATTAAAATTTTAAGGAAAAATCATAATTCAATTTCAAGGTACCCAAGTAATCTACATGAAAATATTCCAATTTTTCTATAAAACAAGAAATGCAGTTATTGACTTGTAGGATTAGGTGCCAAATTGGTAATTTCTTTAGCAATGAAATTTGATAGGCACATTTCATTTTCCTTCTTCATTTTTGTTAATTATGGTTACCACAACACATTTTATCATAGAGATAACATAGAAAATAACGTCATTTGAACATGGTTTACAACTTCAGTGGTGTCATCATCTTCGAAGAATAACTCTTTTCAAAATTTCACAAAAAAAACGAAATTTTAACTAAAATATTTATAGTTCGCAAAGTTTCAATGCGCGAGGTATAACTAGGTACAAAGAGCCATTGGCCAACCCAAAGCTACACAATATTTATTCATTCATTTTTTTTTTCTGGAAAAATATGAAAAAAATTTGTTGCAGAGAAAAATAAAATTTTTTTACAATGAAATTGAAGAAAGTGGGTGGGGGGGAGATTTTATATACCTCCACATGCCATTGTCCTTGAGTTTAAATCCTAGATTCCACTTCCAAGTTGAAATCTTGTAACCACTCACAAGTGGAGTTGTTGGGGGTAAATAATGAACTGCAAATGTCAACTCATTTCACTTTTAACTTTTTCCCACCTTAAAAGTTACTTTTAAACATATTTTTTATTTTCAGACAATTAATTAAAAATTAACTCTTTAAAAATTAAATTTTTTTTTTCTTGATCAACAAAAAAATGGTATTTGATTTAAGATTACTTATCCTCCTCAAATTTTCTTGGAGAAAATGATTGGGATGCTGCCATAAATGAAGCCACAACTGAGTACTTGCATTTAATTTTCATAAAAAAAAACTTTCATGGTAGGTCACCTAACCTATACATTTGTTTCGTATTGGTTACTCAACTATAAATTTATTTCAATTTGACCATCCAACTTATACTTGTATTACAATTTGATCACCCAACTGATTTATATTTCTGTTTAATCATTTATCACTATCTATTAACAAAATTGACAGAATCTATAGGCTCGTCGACAAAATTTATGACATGGTAAGTGAAAACTACGCCATGGGCTAATGGAACAATCCAATATTTAACGAACTCTTTTCAGTATACAAACTCCTTTTTTAATGAACAAAAATTATGTAGTGAAAAATATAAATTAAGTCATGAGTTCCTTGACCAGATCATGAAATTCACTAGTTTTAATAATGGTTATAAATCAAATAAAAATAAAAATAAATTAATTAATCAAATTATAATAAATTAAAGTTATACGACCCAAGTAAAATTAACATGTAAGTTATTTCACTTTCGGTTAAATTTTTCGAGAATCACGTGACTGCGATACGGAAACAAAATATGCAGATTTCTGTCTTTACACTTTTGCAATTGCACCCACAAAAACTTTTATAAAATTTCATTTATTTGTTTAGAATAATTCCAATTGACAATACTTTCATTTGTATTCCATGTTTGAGCCATATTTTCTGAGAATAAATTTTCTGAAAAATGGTTTTAAAAAATATATATTTAGAAAGTAAGAAAAAAATTGTGATTTTAATGTAAAATTATTTTACTAAAAAAGATATTATGTAGAAAATGAGATTTAATTTTAATTTTTTTTTTTTTGGCAGTGCCTCTCAAATGAGGCATAAACTCAACTCTAAAAAATCCTTTATAATTTTCTTGGTCTTGTCACTTTCTCACCATTTTCTGGTAAGTACGTTTTGTCATTGGATTATTAGCATTAATAATCTTAGAAATTCTTAAGAACCCACCTTTTTGCCATTTTATTATAAAGGGGATAAATATATTCAAGAAAATTTGAGGGGAAGAAATAGAGAGAGATATGCTGCAGTTACACAGCTTTCGGCCATGGATTTCAACCGGAAATCCCAATTCGATTATGAATTCTTCTAATAAGAGGTGACCCATTACTCTTAAATTCTCAATGCGATCAAAAGATTCAATCTTTATTTGCTTACAAAGCTGCTTGAGAGCTGAATATATGTATGTGTGGATATACATACATACATGTATATGTGAAAATTTCTGAGCCAAAGGCTCGGCGACAATTTCACATATGTCCATGCGTAGGTCGATTCTGGATAATTGTTTTGGTGCCAGAATACCGATTTGAGCATTGTATTACATATGTTTGCACGTATGCATTGTAAAAATAATTTTGAACAGTGATTTTCGTCATGTTTGAAGCTTCAAAATGAATCAAGACTCCAATAGATGAGTTGACAATAGCAGGGAGTATGGTTGATATTTGTGGATATGTGGAAGTCTTTTCTCGGATTTCGTCACCGTCCTAAGATTTCTTCAGTTAATAGAGCTAAGAAAACTGCAGTGCGCCTAGAAATGGATACTTAATAACAGAAAGTTTTGATCAAGATTTAGATTGGTGTAGCATTTGATCAAGTGGTCTTGTTTGCTAAGATGAATAACCAAATGGCTTCCATTTTGTGTAATAACTTCATGTTCGCGGGCATCCTTAAATTTTTAACTTTCGTGTATTTTAGATGGTATATGTAATACATGCTATGAATCATTTTATCTAGTACTTTTAAGCATAAATTCCTAAGTCAGAATTCTTAGCTCTGTAGCAGCCGTGTTTGTTGACTGCGTGACAGCAAAAAAAATCTAATAGTATTACTATTGTAGATATCGAGGCCATAGTCTCGTGGAAACTGATGATATTATGATAACTTTTAGAAAGTCAAGGCCGCATTGCTGTTGGTGCATCCCAATTTCAGTTTTGCACATACACAATCTGTCAATAAAAAACAGAGGTGAGATGTGCCCCAGGTCCTGCTGTAGTTTTGCTGATTATTCTCTTATATATTGTTAATCAGTGCATGTGATATCTTCTTGATGGTTTATTCTTTGCCAGGGAAATGGAGGATCAGTTACAAAACCACAGGGAGGGAGATCAACCATTCAATCGAGAATAGTTTTCAGAACAATGTGAATGCTGAAATTTTGAACATGGATAAGAAAAAAATTTATCAGGTGTACATATGAGAATAAGTGGCATCAGCCGACAATAAAATAAAATTTAATTAATCATATTACAAGTTTCCCAAATTAAATTTAGTTTGTTTTTAAATGCGAAAAAATTTGTTTACTTGATTTTGGGATTGATATGTGTTTTGGTTGATTGTATAATCTTTACTCATTTCTAATTTTTAAGCATCATTATTTGTTTACCCAAATATTCTCTTGCCAATTTTTCATTGCTTCATTGTAGTTAATAGACTTCTAATCCCGTTTCCCCTGTTTCCCCAATGCTGTGTTGGCAGCACGAGAGTAAGGCATAGTAATTGGGAAACTAATTAATTGTAGTATAAATGAATTTTTGTTTTCCAATTCCAGGTCAAGGTCCGAGTTCCATAATGCTAAAGACAATGCAATTATTCTGTATCTGTTTTTATTTCATATGTTTCTGATTAGTCATTCAAGTATTTTTGATCCCCCATTTCCCTGGGAGTCCAAATCATTGATGTTTTGTTGAGAATTGTGAACCTTGTATTTCATCACAGTTAACAGATTAAAGATATACTGATAACTTTAGATCTACATAAGAAATATGATATATAATTTTATTGATTGAAAGAGAGAGGATATAAAACATTAAAACATGTTACCGATGCCTACTTTCTGTAGCAGTTTTGAGGTTATATGAGTTGGTATTTTTTCTGAAGATGAACTAATGTTACTGTGCTAAACTTCATTGAAAACCAAATATATCTAGTAATTGCGCTCACGTTTACATGTGACACAGTTTTTTTTTAGAAAAGACACTGTGGATTCCTTACTCATTTGTTAATTCCTATCACTTCGGTGGCCCAGTTTATTATAAAATAATCAACCCATAGAGAACTATGAAAATGAGAATTCATAGAGTGAATTATGTCAAGTACTTGAAAACTGGGGGTTAAAAAAATTGAGCCATTATGTTTCTTCTTCTTCTTCTTCTTCAAAAAAAGAAAGAGTAACTTATCCTGATGTGGCTTTTTTGACTGGCTAATTACCCTCTTTACTAATGAGAAGTTTGTAATCCGAACAGCATGAATCGCAATGTTAATGAAACTTGAGGATAACGAATGCACGCTTTACGTTTTTTGTTTATTTGTTATTAAACTTCTAATTTTCTCTGACAGGAGAAGGAATTCAGTTTTTCTTTACGATATCCCATTGATGTTCCAGATTTATCGACGTTCTTATGCTACATTTTTCTATAAGTTTATTTTAGTGTACAGAGTGTTTGCTTTTAACAGTTATGGGTTTTGCATGCATGTGGAGTGTAACTAATGATTAATTGGTATCACAGCATATGCAGGATCATTCAGCTAAACTCATGATAGCATCCCTGTTGTCGTACTTACTAGTTAGATTTGTACATCTGAATGCCAAAGATACAATGGTGAATGTACTTCGAGAATTGTTCGTTTATATAATTCGAACATTTACAGCTTCAAGATCACCTTTTGCTTGCATATCTAATTCCTTGGACAAACCAACACCACTTCAATTGGAAGTTTCTTTGCCTTCACTGCAAGATATCAGATGGAATTTCTCCCGGTTAATCTATTTATTCAACACCCAACTAGAAAGAAATGTTGCCACGTAAGTATAGCCAAATGCCGCTTCTCTCTGTATAGTGATTGAAAAGTACTGTATGTTACGTGGCACTAAGGTTTTTAGTGACTTAACCTTGAGGTTAACCTAGATAGAAAATAGTTTCTTATTGCGAAAGTGTAGATAGATTAGCAAGTGACCCTTATTTATCCTACACTTCTAACGTCTGATTATAGAGCGAATTTAAAAAAAGAAAAAAAATAAAAGGGGGCTAAATACTTTAGTAGCATGCTTATGAACATAGTAGCTGCAAAAAGGGATTATGCACTGAATATTGTTACTAGCATTCTGTTAAATAATATGAATGGATCTGACTTGTTTGAACACAAGAAAATTCTTAAGTCCTGGTAGCTTGTACGTTATCAATGATAACCAAAAAGGCAAGAAGTTTCAGTCTTTGTATAGCAGTACATGTCTTGAAAGTTGGCTAGCCGACCTGGAGAGTTATAGTGATAATGACCGTAGATGCTGTGCCATACCCCTTTATTTGAAAATACAACTTAAGACATTTTTACACGTGCTTTCTCATGTTGAGTTGACTTTTTGTATTGATCTTACACACTGAATTATGTAATATCTATTTATACAGGTTCTTCCTCGTGCTTCTTGTGGCATGCTTCTCGTTTGTAATCATTGGTGGATTCCTCTTCTTTAAGCTCAGGTGAAGTACACTTATGTTTCTGAGAACAAATTGATGAAAAGCATTGATTTGCTTTTTTTATAACAAAATAAGAAAAATTCCTAACTGTGATAATGTGATTCTGCTTTTTTCTTTTTTATGATTTAGTCCTTTTGGATATTATGATATTTTAAAGAGAGCTAAAAGACAATCAGTTTCACAGATAATAACTGTATTATGTTTTGAAACTATAGTTGAAACCTTCAGAACAAGCACAAGAGAACTTTTCTAGTTCTGGTTATAAAAAATTAAGGCTGCAATGGATTCTAGTGTTTTCGATTATTGTGAGGCTGCATTATGGCTTTTCGTTCGGTTCTTATTTTTTTTTGTTTTCATAATGAATGAATTGGCTAAGGACATATAGGATGAGGTCACGCTGTATGCTTTTATATAAATGATATTTTTGTGGTGGGTGAAGTTAAATGGGGACTCATTTCTAAATTGGAGATATAGAGCAAGCATCCTGAAACAAAATGATTTGAAATTTATTGGAGTAAGATATTGTACTTGAAGTGTCGTTTTAGTAAGGAAAAAGTACTTGTGGAGATGTGGTTGAGATTGAAGATCGTGAGATACACTAGTGTGGCCATTTTCAATATTTACGCTCGAAGATTCACTAGGGAGGGACATCTCAGTCCACATTACTCAAAAGATTAAGTTGGTTAGATTACTAGAGAAGTGTCTATGGATTTTGTGAAATCACAAATTTCTATAAGAATAAGTAGGAAGTATATAAGACCTCTGTAGAACCTGCAATGTCATAGGGGACCACGTGTTAGGCTATAAAAAAAATCTCCAAAAGTTGAGTGGAGTTGCTAGGAAAAAAAAGGAGAGATAGAATAAGAGGTGAGCATAATTTTGAGTTGGTTAAAGTGGCACTAATTGATGATATATTTTATGAGAACTAGTTGAGTTGGTTTGACTACATTCAACAAAGGCAGCTAGTTGCAAAGTTAGGAAAAATGATAGATCTAGCATAAATAATAAACCTTGAGGAAGAGATCAATCTAAAATCACAAATGGATGATGTCTAATTTTCCAATACTCGATATCATATTTACATATTTTCTAGTTTGTGGAGTTATTGCTTCAGTAAATTAATATGCATATTAATAATTTTATATTTTTTATTTATTAAGGACGAATTTTCTGATTAGTGCCTTCTTAATGTTGTCCAGTCAATTAGACATAACATCTTCCTGTTTTTTTGGATGTCATGCTTTTTTCTGATTTCTATATGTATATTATGTAAAAGCACAGGGGTAGAACACAATCACTCGAGGATTGCTTTTGGGAGGCATGGGCATGCCTGTGTTCATCATCAACCCATCTGAAAGTGTGATCCATCTTTGCTAATTCAAAATCGTCACTTGATACAATGTAACAATCTTTATATTGCTAAAGCGACATTGAAGTAGTAACTGTTGCTGTTTACAATCATTCTTTGCCTTCAATTGCAGCAAAGAACTAGGATTGAACGTGTTATTGGCTTTATTCTTGCCATATGGGGCATACTGTTCTATTCTCGCCTATTGAGCACAATGACAGAACAATTTAGGGTAAGATTTGCAAGATGCTACCTTTTGCTAAAGCTTAAAATACGCAAGATAACCGTCACTGACTAGAATTTGGACAGAGTAATATGCACAGACTCAGAGAAGGGGCACAAATGCAAGTTTTGGAGACAGATCATATTATTATCTGTGGAGTTAATAATCGTCTGAGCTTCATATTGAAACAGTTAAATAAGTATCATGAATTTTCTGTTCGCTTAGGCACTGCTACGGCTAGGTAATGCCTCTACACAAGCCTATATATTTAGTCACACATTTACACAGTTTTAATTAAGTGCTAGACCTGTTTTATCTTAATCCATGTTTGCAGGAGACAGCGAATTCTTCTTCTATCTGACCTTCCAAGGAAACAAATGGACAAAATTGCTGAGAACGTAGCTAAAGATCTTAATCATATTGATATTCTAACAAAAAGGTACCATAAATGTTATTACCACCTATTTGAAGACAATAATTAAATGATATACATGAGACCCCTTTCTAACACCCTAAGCAATTAGATCAAGTGGCTCAACATGGTCCTGAGTTCAAATTTTGCTACCACCTATTTAATGAAATTGTGTACGTGTTAGGCTTTGATGGATAGAATGAAACCCACCAACATATGAGAGAGCGTGTTCCAAGACAATATTTATATAATACGCATGTGATCTTTTTTAACATCTTAAGCTTTTAGGTCAAATGTGATTCGCCTCTTATAAAACATCTTCCAGCACTCTTCCCCTTAGTACATAGAGAAATTGAAAAGGTTGAGGAGTGCAAGGGATGTTTTGGAAGCACAAATTACAGTTACCAAATCAGGAATCTTCTTTAATTGAAAATGGTAGTCTAAATGAGCTTCCAATTGTTTTTTGATGTCGTCGAATTGCTTCGTGGATACTCTCCAACTAATATAGACATTCTTATAGGACCACATGGGCATTGGTGTACACACACACACAGAAGTGTCATGTTTTATAAGTATTTTCCAATTGTCTGCATGACTATACAATAACAAATGTGCTGGGAAAAATGAATTCAATTGTCAGACATTCGTGCGAGCATCTTGTATATTGACCATGGATTTTATTAATCTCCCCTAATTGATGAAGAAAATCTTGTGGCCTGGATGCTAGAATTTGTCATTTTGAACATGGTGCATTTTGTAGAGGAAGGATCCTTATGAGTTGTTGGTATTTTGCACATGTTTACATACATAATGCATATGTAGGAACATTTATACACTTTTAATTAGCCAGACCCTTGATTACACGTTACAAACTTACAATATGCACTTCATCAGCATACAGTTCTTGTCTTTATAATGTCACTCCATGACTTACTTGAAGAAGAAAATGATATTTATTGTGCATTGTATGTTTTCCTGACAGCTTTAATATTGGATTTTGTTGAGTTTAGTTGCCATTTTATAGATTTTGATTTAATGAACATTTAAATGAGAACTGAAAAGCATCAGATTGTTTGAGTTTGTTTACTTCTGCTGACCTGCTTCCAGTTCCCATATTTAACTATATTATTCTTGTTTCTTATTTAATTCATTGATACTTTGGTACATTTCCTGTTGCATTCTAACGGCTGACGTATGATTTTTACTGGGGAGGAAATACAAGTAGAATAAATTAAAGATACAGTTTCCCATATTTTACGAACTGAGATAATCATAGCCACTTGTGCATAATTGGGTTGTAATAAAAGTTTTCTGCTTCCTTTCACGACTGACATATCATCTGCTCATGCAGTTGTAGTCTAAGTTTAACAAAGTCATTTGAAAGAGCTGCAGCCAGCAAGGCACGTGCCATAATTATATTGCCAACAAAGGGAGATCGGTAAGAATTTGATTGATCCTGGATGATTTTATTGTTTCTGACCCCGTTGCATGTGTGCGAGAGAGAAGTGGAATTAACATAACAAGATTGTATTGAGTAATTTTTTTCGCAATTTTATTGAGTTATTATTATTATTTTTTTACATTTCCCAATTGTAGTTTCAATTATCATTTTGGAAACCATAATTGCCTGTAAACTGCTGATGCACGTTCCGTTGATAAAATGTTATAAAATTGATAGAATTTAAGTGGACTGGATTAAATATGAAAAAATAAAAAAGTTAAATTCTTGTGTATTTTAGTACAGTCTAATACAATGTACCAAACATGCTCTAATTTTGATCCGGAAAGGCAGATTGAATATTTAATACCAAAATTTCTTGTTTTCATTGTCCATATGATATTATTGCTGCCTGTAATTTTTCAAAAAGCGATGGCCTTTGTATAACAGAAAAAATGCAACTACTGGCATTTAAGTTGAGTTAGGAAAGATGAGATTGTAGTTCTTGACATCTTGCTGATGTACAACATATCTACTTTATGGCCCCTTTTGCCCATTCTTAGTTTCTAACTTTCATTCTTTGACCTCCAAAATCTGTAAGATCCTGGACCTATAACAAAATCAAAGTTGACCTCAACAAAACTATAATCTGAATGTGATTATTGATACCATGAATACCCATGTCATTGTTGCAAGACAGTCCAACAAAATATAATTTAGAACTTATCTTGACTTAACAAAACTCTATGCAATAGATCCTAACTTTTAATAGGAAAAAATATTTCTACTGTGTAATTCTTTTTGTCTTATACACAACCACGTGTTATGCTTATGCTGTTAATCAAGTATTTTCCTGGCTTACCATCATTATAGGACTAACATTAAAAAGCTTATATTTATTTCAATTTTTAATAAGAAATTTCTAATTTATTAGGTACGAAGTTGATACGGATGCGTTTCTCTCTGTACTTGCTCTTCAACCTCTGCCGATGATGGCCTCTATCCCCACCATAGTCGAGGTAAGTTGCTGATAAACTGGTCTCCATTTCTGCAGGGTGAGTTGAAATTTAACTCTTGTGGTGCAGGTTTCAAGTTCCAACACCTGTGAGCTTTTAAAATCAATTTCAGGATTGAAAGTTGAGCCTGTGGAAAATGTTGCATCCAAATTATTTGTTCAGTGCTCTCGGCAGAAAGGGCTTATAAAAATATACAAACACTTGCTCAATTATCGAAGTACTTACATTTCCTTTATTTCTTTTCATTTGGAGTTGCTATTTTTAATTCTTATTCAAATTATTACATATTCAACAGTTATCTTGGGGCCTTGTGGTGATTGGAAAACATGTTAAATTTTTGGTACCTCCATTTGGATTTGCTAATATGGGTAGAAACTTAATACTTTCCATTCAAAATTTCCATTCTATTGGTTTGTTTCTTAGTCAGTAGACTGCCACTTAGGTTTGCTTCTCATATCACACATAGTTTCTCTGTGATCCTGTGATGCAATGTGCTGATAAGTTTTTAATTTTTTAAATCTGTATCCCTATCTTTGAAACCTATCCTATCTATTTCTTACAATGCTTGTCAAAATTTGGCAGAAAATGTATTCAATCTCTGCAATTTTCCCAACCTAGCAGGACTGAAGTACAAGCAAGTAAGACGTGAATTCAATGAGGTAAATCATTCCCGTACATTTGTTAGTTTCTTACGTCTGTTGAGATATCTGGACTTAGTTTATTGGTGGTTAATTTCTTATTCTTGAATATCATTCCAGGCTGTTGTTTGTGGCCTTTATCGGAGTGGAAGAATATATTTTCATCCAAATGATGAAGAAGCTTTAGTGGAAACTGACAAAGTAAGTAAATATTGCAGATATTTCATGTCTTTTGAGTTATATAATGAATAAATCACTTCTCTGTTTCATGGACCATCACCTGTTCTTAAGTCCAGATAATAGATGAAAATCCAACACTTCATTGTGCCAACTTCACTGGTTGGGAGTCCTTTATTTCGGAACTATGCTCATAACAATGTTGTGCCTTTTTGTCAATTCTATGAATTGGTATTTATTTCTCTATCAGCATGAAATCTGTTCATTAAAACCCCTCTTCAACTATTCAAGAGTTGAACGTGTAACAATACATTCAATGGTAATGGTTGCAAAANTCATTAGATCATTTCTGTATATATATATATATATATATATATATATTGAGCCTTGTCATTTTAAGCTCATCTTTATGATTCCCAAATTCATCTGAACTTTCATTTTACACATGCAGGTGTTGTTCATTGGTCCTGTACATGGAGGGAAGAAACTGCAAATCACATGTTCAAATGATAACGAAGAAGACGAGAATTATATTTATCATCATGAAACTCTAAAAGGGAACAATGAATTTTTTAGTCGTACATTGGATCTTACAAGAGAACGACTAGCAAACGTAGTAAAAAGACCAAGAAGATCAGGTTCAAAGGTATGCCATACCAATCAAATGGTGACTCCGATTATAACGAGGTTTGATATTAGTTTTTATATTATTTGAACTTCTGAAAACAGGCATCAGATTGGTGCCAAGGTCCAAAGGAGTGCATACTAGTGCTTGGATGGCGCCCTGAAGTGACAGCAATGATTGAAGAATATGACAATTATCTTGGACCTGGCAGTGTTGTGGTATTATTTTGTTTCTTTAAGCTTTCTTTATGTCATTTACTGTTACACTGTTTTTGGTGTATCTGTTGACCTCAAAATGCAAGCCAAAAAATCCTCGGCCACCTCCTTGTTTAGTCACTTTTTTCGGCCACCAGAGCTCCAATGGAGGATTTTTCTGGTGGTGACCACCGTCATTTAAAGTTCTAGGAGATGAAGAACAAGAATTTGGCAAAGATTTATACTATTGCTTGCTTTCCTTGTAAAATCACACAGTATTTATAGATTTCCTAAGCTTTGGGGCTTCTTGGTCTTTTTACATCACGTGGACGCGTCACTTTATTATTAGTGAGTCTTATAGCAAATCTTAATTGTGGATAGTTCCATGACCCTCATCCTTCTCCCATTGAGTTGGTTGTTACCTTCACAAGACTCCCTAAATCATCTTTCCTACATGCTCTCATAACCACTTTTGCCACGTGGCTCTTCCTGTAGGCTGCTAAGTGGTTAACAAGATGTTTATTTGCTTCCCTTTGAGCAGACACCCATTTGCCTTTAGCGCTCTTGGTTTCTATAGGCTCGTTGGTAGTTCAACCATCTTAAATGTTTTGGTTCGATTGTGAGGCTTCGATCGTAAATGTTCAATTTAGCTTAGGTGAATGATAAACAGAGCTTTGCCTATGCAAGGCTATTATAGTGAAGCTATTCCGAACTTGTAGTGACATCGTTCCGATTATGTACTTGCCACGTAAACGTAGTAACAAAATCATAAGTTACTCATGAAATGGCAAATATTTTAGTTTGTAGCTTGACCTCTAACAATGGCATCGAATATATGTTATATTGGTCGGAGTTTTTGAGACGATATCATATGCTATTAACACCCACATTTGCCTATTACTTGACCTTGATATGCCCGTGTCTTTGAATACTAAAGTAATTTTTTTTTTCCTGAAACGCAAAATCTATTGATTAACTAAATTTGCCGTCCAGAACTGGTGAAATAAAACGAGGAATACAAGAAATCCATCTGAAAAAATCCAAAACCAAACAATCACATGATGCAAGCTCATGGGACACTCTACTCCCCTCTCAGGAACAAAGTGACAAGTATCATTCCTCAAATTGACTAGCATGCGATGAATATCTTGCAAAAGCACTGCATTTGGTGCAAAAGAAAAATCAGCGGTTAAGTTGTTCACAGTGCGCAGAGAATCACATTCTGTTTTGTGGATATGGATTCCATTCTGCTGAGCAAACAATAGCTCCTCTAGTAAAGCCACCACCTCTGCATCTTCTGATCTTGGCTGGCCTGAGTTTTATGTTGCGCCAAGCTCGGTTCGCCACTTCTATGCCCAACATCTCCAGAGAGCCGTTGCTCTCTGTATTTCTTGGTCCATGTGAGACGCCATGAGCCTATGCACCCTACCCACTCTGACACTAGTAGATTGGTGTAACAAATGTCAGGTGGAAAAATATGATATATTTAGCCATATCACGTGATTCTTTTATTCTAGAATCGTATGGGCCTACATGGTTTACCAACGAATGAGTTCAAGTTCCCCCAGTTTCTTAAAGTTCATCGCTGTCCGTATTATCTTAAAAACTTCAGATATTATTGGGTCTATCATATAACCACCTCTATAATGGTAGCTACTAGATAACTTGTTTCTCAATGCACACGTGCAGGAAATCTTGTCTGATGTTCCAATGGATGACAGAAACAAGGAAAGCAAGCTTGCTGGTCAAGGGAAACTGAAAAATATTCAAGTTTCTCACAGGGTACCGTGAATCTTTATAGGATTTGACATATAAACTAATCATTTTCTTCCTACTTCATCCACCTCACTTTCACTGTTGATGTTTTTTTCATGTATTGCAGGTTGGAAACCCAATGGATTATGCAACTCTAGAGGATACCATCGTCAACTTTCATAGGTCCTTCAAGAATGATGAAGATATTCCCTTCTCCGTGGCCGTAATAGCAGATAGAGAGTGGCTAGTTGGAGGTAAAACAGATTTGGTATTCTTTCGGATTTAAATCAGCGCGATTTTGATTACTTCTTGTTGTTTAGATTCATCGAGGGCAGACAAGAATTCTGCATATTCTCTTCTTCTTGCTGAAAATATCTGTGGTAAACTTGGAGTGAAGGTATGGATGCTTTTAACACTTTTAGGTATTTTTGTTATTAACACCTATCCCGACGAGTGTTTCAAATTCTCGTTTCTTTTAATTTGTTGTCATATAAACCTTGGATCAGGATTTTTTTGGTCTTCCCTATTTGATAGTCTCAAACACAATCAGTTCTCATCGAAATTTTCTCTTTTCATTTTATAACCTTATTAAGTGTTCATTTGGAAATCTCCCTCCCTCCCTCTCTTTCTGTCTCTCGCAGACTTGACAGCTTCTCGTGGATTTTAAATGTTTTATGTTTTGCTCAGTATGTTTTACTTTCTTTTCAAACTTAATTTGCAGGTGCAAAATCTTGTTGCTGAAATCATTGATTCAAAATTAGGAAAACAGGTAACTCTTCCTTTTATGAACCTGAATAATTTTCGTCGTTGGTATTTGAGTTTATATTCTCTCTTTTTGAAGCAATCCTTGTTGTACAGATAAATAGAATTAGGCCATCCCTGACTTATATTGCTGCAGAGGAAGTAATGAGCCTTGTAACAGCCCAAGGTTCGAAAATGATTTGCATTCACTTCTCCTAAAGTGATTGTATCTAAAATATTTCACTTTTCAATGATGAATTTCATTTTTTTGACAGTGGCGGAAAATAGTGAATTGAACGAGGTTTGGAAAGACATTCTTAATGCAGAGGGAGATGAAATATATGTAAAGGTATGATGGATTATGTTCTATCTCGTACTTGCATATGTAAAATACCTTCTTGACAAGGATGAAGAATATGTTGCTAAGTTGTGAAACTTATGTAGAGTCAGTTACACTATGAAAGCAGAGACGTTTTTGTGTCCGACGTATTGGACATCAGCATGCTTTTTATATGCCAGGACACATCTCTGAGACTCCACATAGTGTCTTATAATTTCTGACACGTATGGGACATGACCTTCACATGCTTTATGCGCATAATACATGACATGAAGTATATTTTCTTCAAATTTTTAACAGGTGAGGGTCATGACCACGACACGTCAAGGACATGACAAACCTCATTTTTAATTATCAGTATAATCATAATATTAGGACCAAATACTTTTATACTGCGGGGAGGTTATAACTTAATAGAGGTTAGTTACAAAAATTATTGTTTTGACTTAGTTATCCTTAGTGCAAGTGGTATAGCGGTAATGAACTACATAAATAATTAATTAACAGCATGTCAAATCCAATGTGTAATTATTGATAAAAGAGATAAACTTTGTTTAGTACTTGTATATTTGTAATGTTGGAAATATGCAAAGTCGTCTTAAATCTTTAATGTAACGTAACATATATTCTTTGTCCCAAATAACTTTAGGTAAATATTTTATTTCATTATAAATCTTTAATGTAACATACCGAAGGCAAGTTCCTTAATACAGGATCTAGAAAAATTATAAATTATTACAATGTGGAGTTTACTCTTATTTATAATTGGCTCAAGTTAGGACCAAAGTTTTCTATGACTACATGGATGTTATTCCTATATATCACTATAGAGAGGTCGTACTACAATACATTTAGATAAAAAAAAGTTGAAAATAATTACATCTACTATATACACATATGGATACATGAATACTTATATAATTATATTCCATTGGCAATATTTATACAAAGTTCAATCCAAACTTTTATATTAATACATTATATAGCCACTCTTAAGATTCGGAAGATTAAACCTATACTTGACACGTAGTGTGTCCGACTTTTTTGAAAAAATTGTGCGTCATCATGTCCACAATGTGTCCTTTTCTTTATTGGACAGGACATTGGCCTCTACATGAAAGAAGGGGAAAATCCATCATTTGCAGAACTCTCTGAAAGAGCAAATCTAAGAAGAGAAGTTGCCATTGGTTATGTGAAATGCAACAAGAAGGTACACCATCTTTTATAGGGTTGATATTGATTAAAAGGATCACGTAGAAACGAAAGAAAGGATTGATGCAGTCGACCCTGAACTTATTAGAAATAATTTTTTATTCTTTACAGGTTATAAATCCAATTCCGAAGTCAGACCCTCTATCTCTTGAACTCACTGACTCGCTGATTGTGATATCTGAACTTGAAGGAGAACAGCCAATAGTTATGTGAAATTCATTATTTTTCCCCATTTTGAGGTTCTTTTTGTTGGTATTGAGAAGGAGAAAAATAAAATTTATTGTACGGAGTTCAGGAAAATGTACATTCAGGGATTATTTACTTGTTGAAAATTTTCCATACGGAAAATTGATTATTTCCGATTTTTTTGAAGAAAATCTGGCAAAAAAAGAAATTTCTTGAAAAGTTTGCATGAATTAGTTGATGAGTTCTTGATTAATATTGGCATATCGAATTATAATTTAGTAGTAATTGGATTAGGGTTGTATGGTTGGATGAATAGTTAAAAAATTTGTTGGGTTCTCTTTTGAGTCATTGGTAGTGTCACGAAAGGAGATTACTTCATCTTTATGATGACATCAGATTAACATGTGTACACCAATTTTTTTAATTCTAATTTTCATATTAAGAGCCCGTTTGACAACCATTATGGTAGAAAAAAGAGTTTAGAATAGTGATTTTTAGGAGAATGTGTAGTTAAAAAGTAGGGAAGTTTTTTTGATTCGTGTAGAATATTATATTATGTGAATGTATAATTGAAAATGATCCCGTAACAAATCATAAAATAAATTAATAATTGTCAAATAGGCACTAAATTGTTGTTAGCCTTAAAATAATCATAAGACTAAGAGATCTTCGACTAATTTTAGATAGAAGTGCAATTTTGAAATCTTCGAAAAACAAATTGACTTCAAGAAAATGATATATAATTTCATATGTTGAAGAATATATCCAGCAGAATTTAACTCTTTTTTATCCCCCACAAATTTTTGACTAGTGGACGAGGTTACAATTGGCTCATTCACCTCGCTTTTATCTTAGATTATCTCAATTTAAGTAATAAACCTTCCAAGTGACACTTAAGTTCCATAGCTTTTGGTCTGATATCTGGATCATTCGTATGTTTCAATCTTTTTTCCGTGACAAGAAGTAAAAATAGATCATAAGATCAATTGGACATTTAAAACTTTTTAATTAAAATCGAGGTTTAAAATTGGGTTACTATCATTGATCCTAACTAATTACATAATTACATATCATGTGAGAAGCAAAATGCAAGAAAGATTTAGAATACTCACCAAGTTTTAAGGAAAAATACGAAAAAGATGAAGATCTTGTATCAAGATTTCGATTTCTTCTTGTGAAATCTTGAAACCCGTTTCTTGATTGTTTTCTTAATTTGTCTCTCCTTTTTTACTCTCTTTTCTAGTGATTGATATGGATTTTGTATCCCAAGAGTCTTAATCGCTTGTATAATAATAAGTGCACATATTTTATACACTTATTCAAACCTTGAAATAGAGACATTTTAGTAGTTTCTTTTGTTTAATTATGGTTTAATTTATTGTATACTTCGTTTCTTAGGTGAAACTTGATGATTGAAAGTAAAATTCAAAGAAAGAATAACGAAAAGGGCTAAATTCAAAGTTCGGGAACTAAATTGCATTCATTAGTTGATTCGGATATAATATCGACGATTGGAGAATGTTTGGACTCAATTGAATGTAATTGAAAGATGAAGGATTAAAAATATTTCGAGAAAGGACTCCAAATGAATAAATGATCAAAAGCGATGGACAACAAGTATAGTGCCTCAACGCTATACACCTTGCATCTCAGTGCTGCTCAGGCAAAACAAAAAGGAGCGATGGACAATAGCGCTATACACCTAGTGCTATACAAAACTGGGATTTTGCTACCGTCTCCTATTTTGACGCAAATTCTTCTTGGTATGTAATTTTGATGGGATTTTCAACTTATTTTCGAGCCCTATAAATACATAACACAATCATATATTGGAGGATACCTCTCATGCTCCTAAATTCATAAATTAACATCATCAAATTGAAGATTCGATCTTGATTTTCGGAGAAATAAGAAGAATATAATTGGAGATTCATCAAGACACAATTGAAGAAATTATAGAGATAAAGATTCATCTTTTTTCCTTCATCATTCCAAAATCCGGGTTTTTCCAATTAAATATAAATTATTGCAATTCTGTAATGTTAGGCTAGTGTCTCAATTACTAAGACATTTATGAACATTTGGTATAACGTTTTTAATATAAATTCAATAATTTGACGTCCAATATGTACTTACTCTTAGATGATTGATATAGAATTTAATGCTTTTTAATTAATTAGCTAATGATTGATTTTTTGTGTGAACTTTATTGTTTTCGAGAAAGACAATATGATATATAGTACATTATAACAACCATTGTGAAGTTCAATAGATGATAGAGACATACCGTTATGATTTGCATGATTTTCATAGATATTCTAACATTTTGAATGCACGCTTTCATGTTCGCATCTTTCATAAAAATATAAGAAGGTCACATAAGAGAACATATTGAATTGTTATCGATAGATACTATTAATTAACTTAGAAACATTGATCAACAAAAATGTGCACATATTGTCATGTTAATAAATTGCATTGAGACAGATTAATAAGAGGGATTCAAAGTCTTAGTAACCATCCAATCTAAATTTACAAAATCGTCATAATTTTCTCACTAAAATAATTAGTTTAAATAGTTGATTTAGATAAAATCGATATAACAACATTGGCCATTCAATTAAGGTTTACATTAATTGATTCTATATTAAGTACATAGTCCTCACGTAAACGATACTTAATCATTATATTACTTGTTCAGGATATCGTACACACGTGAAATTTCATATAATCAAGTTTTTGACACCGTTGTTGGGGGATATAGTATTTAATTAGTTTTAACTTTAATCTGAATTTTTGTTGCTTTCTTAGTTTTTAGATTTTTATTAGAAAAAATTATAGTATTTTTCTCTTTCCTTTTAGGATCTTGTATGTGAAGTTCGAGATAATGTGCTCTTGCTCCATTTGACCAAAAAATCAAATGAAAATTTATGTTGAGAAGAAAAGAAAAAATAGAAACACAACAAAAATAGCTAGTGTAATCAATGGCAGAAAACATTTAAAATCCATTGTCCGTTGTGGTGAATGTAAATGCAGCATAGCTGGTTGTAGCTGGGGATAATGAGAACAAGAGACTGATGGAAGAGTACATTGTTTCACCAATGGTAGAAAGCAAATCCAGCATTCGGGTAAGCAAATTTCCACTTGAAGACAGATGTAATACACATGTCCACAACGCATTGCATTTTTTTGGGAGACCAACTCAAAATCCAAATGTTCTTATCTCGAGGTTTTTGGATGTGTACTATAATTGAATATTTAGCAATTTCTAGCGATGCAATTCGGCTGAACTTTTTTCATACACTTTGAGAGATTTAGCCAGGGAATGGTTGTACACATTCTCACCTCACAACATCACCATTTGGGACATTCTATGCCATAAGTTCTTGAATAAATACTTCTCACCAAAGATAATTTCCAAGTTGAGTGGTGAAATCACTACATTCTCTCAACTTGATTTGGAATGCTATTATGAGACATGGGAAATATATAAAGGTTTGCTTCAATAATGTCCACAACAAGGTTTGTAGAAGTGGCTACAAGTTCAGTACTTCTATATTGGGCTAAATCCGACTAGTAGAGCTAATATTGACTCTACATGTGATGGGTTTATCAAATCATAGAGGATCTAGCATACACCAGTGCACTATGGAAACAGAAAGACTAGGTGGAAAGAAAATCACGAGAATGCATGAGGTTAACACGCTAACAACTATTTCAGCATAACTAGCTAAAAAGGTAGATGGTAACTCATCAAATAATAAAAACAATTCAAATAGCAGGGTCGAGATGTAACCATTGTGGAGAAAATCATGAAAGTGTGGATTGTAATGTGGAAGATCCTTTTGCTCAATCATTTGAGGATGCAAACTACATGCATAATTTTTAGATGCAGCGAAATAACTCCTATTCCAATACACACAACTTGGGTTGGAGATAACCAGTCATCTCAAGGTGTACTATCAAAATGCACCACCAAGTTTCCAACAGTTAGAAAAAGTTCGGAAAAAATGTTGAGAAAAATGGCAATATCATCAACTGAACCATTTACCAAAATGCCTGAAGCATCAACTAAATTCATGCAACAGATTGAGAAAAATTTTCAGATTCAAGGGGTTACGATATAGAATTTGGAAAATCAGATAGCAAATAGCCAAAGTACTTTTAGAAGGATATACATGGATCTTGGCAAGTGACACTGAGACAAATACCAAAAAACAAGTAATGATAATAAACGTTATGAAATATGATGTCGACACTGCACCAATCAAATTTGCTCTAGTTGCACGAGAGTATGTGCCACTTATTCTATTCTCTCAAAGACTTCAAAAAAGACCAGAAGGGAAAAAAATTCAAGCAATTACTACATAAATGGGGTTCAACTTTCACAAATCACAGTTAAAAGACGGGTGTTATTAAATGAAAAATGTACCTTCCAAAAGTGAGGAGCACGTGGATCAGTATGAACAATCAGTAAAAATAATTTCAAATCAGATGTAAGAGAATCCACAGGTTAAGACAATCGCTCACATATGTTCGTTGTGTCTCATTTCCTCAAAGATTGCAAAAGAATAAACTCGAAGAAAAATTTTCAAAGTTCTTGGAATTTTCACATAGCTTCATGTAAACATCCCGTTACTTGAAGTTATATCTCAAATATCAAGCTATGCAAAATTCTTAAAGGATATCTTATCAAAGAAGATGAAGCTCAGTGAGTTTGAGATCATCACGTTGAATGAGGAGTACAGTGCCATCTTCCAACACATCACACCTCCTAAACTAAAGTATCAATGGAATTTCAAAATATATTACTCAATTGGAAATAACTCTAACTTTACTTGTTTATGTGATTATGGAGCAAGTATAAATTTAATATCTATTTCTGTCTATAGGAAACTAGGTCTGGAAGAGCTAAAAGATACAACAATCTCCCTTCAACTGACGATCGATTAATTGAATACCCTCTAGGAGTGGTTGAGAACATGTTCATTAAAGTGGACAAGTTCATACTTTCAGCAAACTCCGTT